TCTGTGTGTTCCACTGTGTATATGTGTGTGTCACACTGTGACTGTGTGTGTTCCACTGTGCATCTGTGTTACCGTGTGTCTGTGTGTGTGAGTACGGGACATCCGGGGAGATCCGAAGTTGCGTGCGTGTGAATAAGTTGTCGGGAATACAGTTGTTCGAGACAAGTCTGAATCTGGACCATGTTCGTGGCTCCGTTATCTCAGAGCTTTGTGTGGGTGCACGGGCATCAGTGTGATTGTCATCTGTTTGTATGCCTGCTGGATGTCAGAGAAGACAAATCTCATTGCAATAATAATAATAATAATAATAATAATAATAATAATAATAATAATAATAATAAAATAATAATAAAATAATAAAATAATAATAAAATAATAATAAAATAATAATAATAATAATTGCAAGGAATATGAGTGTGACTGATATACAGAAAACCAAGTTTCGAAATCACACAGATGTCTTAGTAGTCGTATACAAGCAGAGAGCACAATATCATCGAGAATCCATCCAAATAGAGCAATACAATGAGGTAATGAGTCAATGTTCAAGCCCATAGGCCACACCAACACAATATCCAAGGTCGCTCCTTTCTGTCCGGCGCCTAGTGCTCCAGCCTACTCTATTCTACTATCCTACCTACAGTTGTGTTCACGCAATTGGCTCACGTCGACTCTCAAAGACCAATGTATATGATGTCAACACCTTATTCAACCTCTCCTTATGCACCAGGTACGTATTTCGTCACCCTCACCAAACCTTGAGAACCCACCCTCGCCTCCTTCCTTGAAGACCACCAGACCGCCTGCTTAACCCTTGGCGCCCAGAACATGTGATGTTTGATAAGGTCCCTTGAGGGCTCGTTCCTCAAATAATAATAATAATAATAATAATAATTTTAATAATAATAATAATAATTTTAATAATAATAATAATAATAATAACAACAATAGTAATTTAATAATAATACAATAATAAGAATTATAATAATAACAAATATAAGGAATATTAATGTATACAACTATCTTCCCGGTTCGATACAATAAAAATGAGGGTGTGTTGTACAATTTGCAGCTCACGAACAACAAGGTAGCAATCATAATAATAACATAATATTAAGATAAATAATAAAATATATACAAGTTATCTCTCCGGTCTGATACACGTATCGTCAGTTGTAGGAGGTTCGCAATCCAGATAATCATTTTATCTCCTTCTCATCGTTTTGTTTACCCCCCCTTCTTCTTACTCCCTCTTCTTTCTCTCCCTCTCTTCTTCTTCCTCCTACCTCTTCTTCTCTTTCTTTTCCGTTGTCATTCAGTAATTTGTCGTTGTACTTACATGATCGTGGTCATACTATCATTCTCAAGATCTTCGTCATCGTAGTCTTCCTTGTCGTTGTCGTTATCCCCGTTGCTTTCTTCTCACCTTCTCCCACATCTTCTTCTCCGTTCCCGTTTATCTTCACGGGACTCCCCCTTTCCTCGCATTCTCACTCCCCCTTTCGCGTCCGTTCCCTCCTTCTTTAGTGCTTGTGCCCTCATTTCCCTCATGTGCATCCTCCCCTTCGTTTCTCCTTTTGAAATGTACATAGCCATACTCACTGCCAAGATTAAAGCACGGTAAAAACAATAATAATATTACCAATTAAACAATAATAGTAATAATAATAATAATAATAATAATAATAATAATAATAATATGAGTGATAACGGATGTATAGAACCTATCTTTCCATGTAGAAGAAGCACGAGTTTCTTCTCAGAGGGAAACACACGAGAGCGGTGACGACGTGAGCATTTGAACAGGTATGTTTCCCCTCTTTTGACTCCTTCCCTTCTCTTTCTCTCCTACTTACACACTCTCATGCACACACACACACACATACACACGCACACACGCACGCATACACACCCATGGGCAGTAGTGTATATTTCCATGTTCTAGCGGTAGATTCATTCGATTTTGCTAATTTATATCGATGGAAGTTTCGTGATGCCCGCCGCGAGATTGGAGACCTACCTGTTCTCTCTCTCGCTCCCCGGTTGTCGTCGCCGTCGTCATCTTTGTAGACTCGCTACTCCCCATTTCTCACGACGACCCGTTGCGATGTGCAGCATACCACAACCACAGCACGGGGCACGACAGGCACAAGCTCGCATCCGACCAGACGAGCAGGGCGGACGACAGGTAAGTCGCTCTTCTTTCTTGCCTCTTTCTCTCCCCCTTCCTCTTCTTCTTCTTTTTCTTCTTTCGACTTTTTTTTTTTTTTTTTTCCTTTTTCTTCTTTTTCTTTTTCTTTTTCTTTTTCTTCTTCTTCTTCTTCTTTTTCTTCTTCTTCTTCTTCTTCTTCTTCTTCTTCTTCTTCTTCTTCTTCTTCTTCTTTCATCGTACGCCTTCTTTCTCCCCGTCTCCTTCTACCGCGCGGCCATCTTCTCCTCCACGTTGTCAACCCCTTCTCGCTCTTCTCCTGCGCGCTATTTCGTTCGCGTCCCCGCTCGCCATCTCGTCTGCTTGTGTGTGTCATCCTCGTACTTGCTCTTCGAACATCCGCGCGTGCATTTCCTCGCGCTTCATACACTCCCCATGCTCTACAGCAATGATCTCCCCCGTGTCGTCGGTAGACCTTTCTTGACCGAGATCGCAGCGGGGCCGAGTTGCAGCCAACAAAAATTATCTATCTCCTTTTAGTGAATCTGCCCTAAATCCGAACGCAGATTCACAAACGTGAATCTATGAAGACAGACTACGGGTGAAAACAAAAGAAAATAAATGAAATAATAAGGAACTAACAAAAAGAACGAATCTAACTAAAAATAAAAATACAAAATAAGAGGCCAACCAACTACGAACTACCCGTGCAGGCCAAGTGTCGGGTCCCCGTTAACCAGAGCTCAAGTCTTAACTATCCAGCTAACTTCAACTTACTCCACTACCGAGGTCGCGGGTTCAAGCCCCGCCTGTCCGGACGTGGGGTAAAGTGTAGGTGAACTCCTTGCCAAAAAAAAGCTAGCTCAGGGTCGGTAGGCCTTGATCCCCCCATCTCTTGCTTAGCAAACAACACTGAAACCCACTGAGCTAACTCCCATTTCGAGTAGAAGAGAAACAACTCTGGTATGTATAGAGCAATGGCTCGGGGCTTGGCTTGACTAGCGGCCCGAGCCCGTCTCTAAGTTTGTGTGTGTGTGCGCACGCTTGCTGGTCTACATGCCCAGTCTGAGTGATTGTCGCTTGAGTATGTGTGTGACCCGCAAGGCCGGTACTTACCGGTAGCCATGGCATTGAGGATTGCGGCGGGGTAAACACTGAAGTGGCTGGGTAAAAGGCCCACGACATGCTTCCGGAAAACACTCAAGAAGAGGTAGGCCGGTACCTAACCAAGTAAAGGTAGAGGCGCCGGGTACCCAAGGCCGAGCAAAATAAGACAAAAATTGGTATTTTTCTGAGGCCCGATACCGGCAAATAGGTGGGTACCAGTTCAAGTAGCCTGAGTCTAACATTTGTGCGAGCGATATCAGGGACTGTAATGATGTTTCCCTCCAAAAGAGAGGAAATACCAGTTGTTTGGGTGATCACGTGGTCAGGAAGTCGTCGCTCAAAAGGCAACTCCCTCTCTACATATGAGGTTGAGCTTGAGCCTCTACCTCACTCACGACATATAAGTTAGGACAGAGTTATCGCTTGAGCAAAGCTAGCAATCCGAGCGGTACCGCAAAGTTGATGATCACACACTAATAATCGCTCCGGCCGTATGGCTGGGGTGTATATTTATCTCTAAGTCTCGGCTTGCGTCGTAGTTTTACCTTACATAATAATAACCCAATTGACCCCTCGACCTCTTTGGTCGAAGGGTATTACTACCGACTCTAATCATTAGAGCGCGCGTCTCAATAACGTGCGCACGTACTTAACGAAATTTTCTCACCGATTTATCCCTACCTCAACGGTCAAGGAAATCGTTTTCAAAGTGTCGCGTGAAAACATACGCGCCTTGAACTTCGGACCGACCCCGTCTTGATAACTATGTCGTCACTGTGTCGATTGCAAAAGCATGGCCAAATACCCTTGTAAGGGTATTTGGTTCAACAATCCTTAGAGGAGAGTGAAGGAAGTTCTATTAGCCACAAAGGGACCTGGTTGGCGGATGATATCTACCTATGGACTGTGATCATGTAGAGTAGGGGATCGAGTGGTGATCGACTGATCGAGGCCATAAGCCATTTGGTATTTGATAGTTCTCAGGTTGTTGGTATAAGGCTAACATTAGTTGGCGTGAGCAGAAGATGGTGGAGGTATGAAGCTCTGGCAAGATAGGTCGTAAGTCAAAGACTGAGTCGATCGATGATGAGTCAAGCACTAATACGAGTCATGTTTGGCCCCCCCAAACAGTGGCTCTACCCTATAGACGCCAGGAGATAGACCTTGTCGGCATTCGTGATAGATCAGTTATACGGAGGTGTTGACAATCTAAGCAGGGCGGTCGACAAGACTTTGCACGTCCTCAGATTAGGGTTAGAGTCTCGGTTTAGAGAAACGTACTTCGCTATATGCGTTCAATGGGGGCGTTTCGACGCTGAGGGAGTGAGAGACGTGGTGAACACGACCTGTTGGGTGGGCTAACGACGAGCGATCTAGTCGGGTTTTATCGGCGGCGTGTAGAGGACAAGTACGTTGGACTAAACGAGTTGAGATTTTTGTACCAGGATAATTAGGAGGAGCATGTCGAGTCGGGCGGTCCCAGGAACCACCGTACGGAGACAACTAGTTAATGAAGGCTTCACTGTTACAGTTATGCTTAGAAGTTAGAACGCATATAGAGGAGAGCTTGACGAAATAGGTGTGCCTGCGGATAGCTAGGGAGTTTATCTAGGAGCATAGAGCGGAAGTGTTTGCTTGCGTGACCTTTTAGACGAGGATATCGTACGAAGTCATGGTGTGGTCGGCAAGGTATTTGCGTGCTTAGTCGTTCTTGGACGAGACGGTAGCAGAAGCTAGGATCAGAATATGAGGAGACAGATCGAAGTACTGCGCTCAGGCTAGGTATGACGCATCATGACTCTACGCTACACAAAGATAGAGACATGACACCATATTTCATGCGATGGGACCATAGAGGTTCTACGTCGTGGTGGGATGTAGATGATAAAAATCCTCAGGTGGTCTCGCGAGCTCTAGGTCGAGAAGGACAAGAAGTGGTTCCAAGACGCCGACTTCCTCCAGCTGAACGTCACTTGCCTTTCTCGCACCATTTGCCATACACGCGTACACGCTCGAAACGGCTGGTGCGGGATGAGGCAATGCTACAAGTCTTCATGAGAGTGAGTGTGGGTGAAGACTCAGCGGATAGCGAATGTGAAGGTCTCGCAAGAGACGTAATACGGGAACAAAGGCTAGGTGCATTAAGAGAGATCACGACACAAAGATGGGTGTTTCATGAGGTGATCGTTTGTGTGAAAGGTACTATACGAGCAGATATCATTCAATATGAAACACCAACAGAGGCGAGAGTTAGGATGTAAGAAGGTTGGTTGAGTCAAAGCAAGATGGAGAATTAGGATGAAAGATGGGCAAGTAATAAAAGTAAATGAACAAATAATGGAACCGGTGTTGACAAAAGTCAAGGAGTTGGCTCGGAGGATCCAGACGTGATGGGCTTTGCCTAACGAGGATAGTTTATTTCATATAGAGGAGAGCACGAAGGAGTTGGAGTTTATCAAGAGGAAGACGCTTGAGTTCCTCGCGAGAGTGAAAGAGAAAGATCAGCGAGAGTCAGCGCGAGGAGAATCAGCTGAGTCGACCGAACAAGAAGGAGAAAAGGACAGTGAAGAGACAACGGCATGATGAGACACGATGAACACCTATTGGTTTAGTAACAACAAATACTCAATGAACGTAGTCAAAAAGTTGGAAGGGTTAGTGGTGTACGTGTTGATTCAGGTAGAGCATCTAGTGAGACTGAGGGTGACAGAAGAGACGGAATGTACCAGGAGAGCACTAAGGGATGCGCGAGGGACGGTGTCAAGTGTATCGGTCCCGCAGGGGGACCCTCCCGGCCGCGTCAGGCAGGATTTGATGGCGGGACTTTTATCCTTCTATCGTGGTACACATGACGCTTTCGTAGCCGCTCCGGCCGAGTGTGTCATCCATACCTCTTGCGAGTCCTTACAACAAGATAGAACCTACATGAGGTATGTCTGACGCACTCGACCGGAGCGGCTACAGAAGCTCCATTTGTACCTTGATAAAAGGATAAAAGTCCTGCTATCAAATCCTGCGTGACGCAACCGGAAGGGTCCTTCAGAGGGACCGATGTACTCGACAGGTGGCGCCATTGCCGAGGATGACGGTTGCCTACCGTTGTCCCGGGTGGAATGACACTCGAGTTTAAACTAGGCAAAATAATAAGTTTTGTTTAGACTTATATGGTTAACTACATGATACCTTCAGTATTAATTGGAAATGTCTTCAAACTGTGAGGTCCTTAGAGATTTAGTCTAGGTTAGAGGTAAGTTGATAATCCAGACAAAAATGACAATTTTGTTTTATTGATCAGATTGATGTATTAAGATAAAACGGTTAATTGTGGGTGGTATTGGATAAAATGCGAGTGAGGGTTGATTGTGTGAGTTGGTTTTGGTTGATGCAGTGACGGTGGCTCGAGAGCGATAAGCGTTCTGACTATGCGCTCACGTACTTTGACTAGTATGATGGTAGTTGAAGTTGATACCCGTTTTGACCCTGATAGTTGACGGGTTTGGACGATGTTTTGCATGTCTGATATGGCTAAGGTAGGATGAGGCGGCATCAACATGGATAAACATAATTATTGTGGGAGTTGGCCCTATGAAGTACTTGTTATGGTCGTCGGAGGCATCTGAGTGGTCATAACAACGACTTGGTATTTGTATTAGAGTGAGGACGAGGACGAGGACGACGAGGACGAGGACGAGGAGGACGAGGACGAGGACGAGGACGAGGACGAGGACGAGGACGAGGACGAGGACGAGGACGAGAGGACGAGAGGACGAGAGGACGAGAGGACGAGGACGAGAGGACGAGAGGACGAGAGGACGAGGACGAGGACAGAGGAGGAGGAGGAGGAGGAGGAGTGCTGTCTCTTATACACATCTAGATGTGTATAAGAGATCTTCTCCTAGGTATTATGTTTAAAGTTGTCAGGATACTTCGAGGAGAGGTAGGATAGAGAGGCCGAAATGTTTTTATAAGGCATAAACAGGGGTTCTTGGGTCCGAGTTCTAAATGAATGATCGAATTATATAGTCAGGGAAGAGTGAGATCCGCCTCGCGCGATGTGTTTGAACTAGGCTTATAAAGCAACAGGTAAATGCAGTGAACACAATGTTATGACCTCAATAGAAAAGACTACGGAACGTAGTAGATGTGCATGATACCTTCTCTGCAATTTTTTTTTTTTTTAATCTTAAGTGCAGTTGGAGTGACAAAGGGACTAACGCTTAGACCATCATGCGTACATCGAAAGGGAAATGAGATTTAAATGATGTTAGGTCTTCGCTTGAACCTTTCCATGTTGGACCATCCACTTGAATCTATGAAGTTGGAACTAAGGACTTGAGACTATTTTTCTTTATGACATTTATCTTGAGTCATATGTTGAACTCATCCATGTATGTCAGATCTCACTTGAGTAAGCTTGTTTAATGCCTATTTAAGTGAGGCTATGTGCTTGATGTCATTCTATCTAGTGGTTATCGTTTTTAGGAATATTTTATATGGGTTAATTAGGTACCTATTTGAATTTACCGGTCCGTAATGACTTAGGTGAGTTTCTCAAGTCCGATTATTCACTCATATATCTTTCATTAAGTTTGTACGTCCGGATTACTCTTCAGATGGGGGTAGAGACATTGTGCAGCGTCCACAACTGATACGAATTCAAAGATAAATAAAGTGACTGCTTCCTTGGGACAAAAATATTTTTTCATGGAGTGGTCGATGTACGAAGGTTTACCCCAAAGAAAGGGTGCAATCCTATGTTATTGTTCCCCTGAAAGATGACTTAGGAAAAAATATAATTTTGTCTTGTAAGTAGTACTGATACCCATGCCGGAACTATGTTCCTAGTCCATAGTGGGGTGTTGTTGTTGTGTCCCCTGTGGTAAGATGACTATATTACAACTGAATAAGAGGAAAATGTTTGAGCCTTATCACACCATGTTCTATGAGGGAAGCAGTTACTACATGTCGCAGAAAGGTAGGGGGTGAATCCCTAACTATTTTGGTGTCAAGTGGGTTCACCAGCACATGACGGACAACGCGACCCGAAGCGTGTATGGTGAGGTTGTTTAATTTATCGACAATGGTCTGCAAGGAGTAGGTATTAGAATCGGAGGGAGAAGCAGTAAGGCTTGATCTTTGAGCGGGGCTCAGGGATTTGAGATGCTATCCATTCTCAAATGGATTATAGTGCCCCTTGACACTGTATACTTTTGTCAAAGCTGGGAAGTAGAATGTGATACTCTCGCTATTATTATGTCTGAAAGTGCTTATTGTTAGCGACGTCGTTGATCATGACGTGTTTATCATATGATATACTTGCATGAACGACAACAACCCATTGGTGACTTTTCGGCAGGGGATGGTGTTAGGAACGCCTCGTCACAGCTTTCATGCGATGCTATTGGCCTGAACAGATGATGTCCTTTCAACGTCGTGAAATATGTGAAAAAAAAACTATAAAAAAAACAAGATAAGGAAAAAAAAAATATATATATATATATATATATATTATTATTTTTCACCACGCGAAAAACGAGACAGTCATCACATCGATGTTCGAAAGCAACATTTACGACCGCCTCCTGCCAGCGTGGGATTTTGAACGGGTGCGGACGCAGGGGTCCCACTTTCCCAGCGACAAATTGGACCGGTACCTGGTAGGCCGTGAAGAACCGGTAGCGCGGCCTACCGGTAGGATGATGTTTTTTGCATCGGGGGGATGACATAGCGGATATCTACATGTAATACACACATATATGCAGGAGGTGTGGCCTACCTTCTTCCCCCGAACATAACGCATTTGCGTTGTATTCGAGTTTCAAAATTTGGCAAAAAATTCGAGTAGAACGCATATGCGTTGTATTAAAAAATTTGGGATATTCAAATAGAACGCACATGCTTTGTCTTCCAATAGAACGCACCCTATGCGCTGTATTCGTTTACAACGCATTGGTGTTATGTTCGGGGGAAGAAGGTAGCCGAAGGTATTTATATCGGGACAACAATATATTACATCTCCTGATGACTTGAGTCGGTGTAATACGGCCTGAGGCCTATTTGTGGTTGCATGCCTCCTGCTCAAGATTCCAGTAGTCCGGCGTAGGAGACATGAACCTTCAATCTCCTTTACCTAGGATCAGAATCTGTTGATCCGTGCGCCAAGGCGAAAATTCCTAGACCTTCGGAATCGTGAACCACTTCCTAGACCCCTCCTCCTGCTCAAGATTCCAGTAGTCCGGCGTTGGAGACATGAACCTTCAATCTCCTTTACCTAGGATCAGAATCTGTTGATCCGTGCGCCAAGGCGAAAATTCCTAGACCTTCGGAATCGTGAACCACTTCCTAGACCCCTCCGAATTGTTTGCTGAGAAGGTTTCTCGGTATGGAGGGGTTAGAAATCTTCCGTACCGGGGCACACACTCACAGAGGCCACCTGCCATCCGATCTGAATATCTCAGGGCCAAACTGAAGCCACGTTGAAAAATATTCGAAAGCTGGTCTATCCTCCTGCTAATTGGACGTTGCCCGCCTGGACTTCCTTCAACCTGTATAATATTTGTGCCGACAGATTGGAGTATCACATTCCGTCTCACAGCTCTGATTCGCTACTGTGGTATAGGTGAAGTTTTTTGTTTCTTTGTTTTCAATTTTTTCTTAGGTGAAGTTTTCGGTCTCGTGTGAGGAGATGCATCGGCCGGACGGAGACCACTCTGAGCGGTCCTAGTGCGGGCATGCTCTGATTGATTCCGCTCGGCTTGTAGTGCCCAACAAGACAAGGTGTTGGTGCGCTAACGAACAGGATGCGGAGTCAGCGGGGGCAGGGGACTTGCCACACGATCTGCGAAAAGAGAAGCAGGCGAAAACCGGACTACCTAGGTTCGGGGGAAGAAGGGAGCCCCCCCCCTTCAAAGAAAAACGAAAAAGTAGAAAAAGAGGGAAATGACCAGGGACTTGCCTCACGATTTGCGAAAAGCGGACTACCTAGGTTCGGGGGAAGAAGGGAGCCCCCCCCCTTCAAAGAAATCGGAAAAGTAGAAAAAGAGGGAAATGACCAGGGACTTGCCACACGATCTGCGAAAAGAGAAGCAGGCGAAAAACGGACTACCTAGGTTCGGGGGAAGAAGGGAGACCCCCCCTTCAAAGAAAAACGAAAAAGTAGAAAAAAAGGGAAATGACCACTGGGATTCTCTTGCCTGTATCTGGCTGTGCTTGTTGCGACGATACGTTGAACGTTGACAGTCATCATACAGGTCATACGTTGAGTTGAGTTAGGAGCCGTCACACGTTTCTCTCTGAAGGTTTGGTAGGAGAAACTTGACTTGATCCCGTCGAAAATAGACGACAAGCGGAGCCGTGGTCGCCCATAGGAGGAGATAGAGATCAAATCGAACTGACCTCCCACTTTCATCCAGTGGCAGCACTTCAGTGTTATCGAGTCGTGCTCTCCTGTCGTTCTGTTCTGTGCGGTGGCACCACTGCCAACTCCTTTCCTCCGTCCTTGAGCTGTCGAGAAGGAAGGAGGACGAAGGATCGGATCCTCGTGGATCCTCGTGCAGAGTTGGCCAAGTCTAGTTGACGGTCAGGGTGAGGGTGGGAGTCATCATAACATAACAGAGCGGTTGGCGATCGCGGACGTGCAGAGGTTGGTTGTCGTACTCCTTGTTCTTTCTCCTCTCCCTCCTTGCTCTTACCCATGTACCCTCCTCCCCCTCTCCCTCCTTGCTCTTACCCGTGTACCCTCCTCCCCCCTCCCTTCCCTCTCCCGCCCTTTGCCCGTTCCCCTCTTCCTCCGCCATGTTGTCGCTTGTGCTTTTCGACGGGCTTGCCCTGGTCCTTGTTCGCCATTTTAACCATTTGGTGACTTTTCGCCTCCGCCTTCTCCTCTCCACTCCACTCCCTGCGCATGTGAGAATAGACGCTTCAAAGAATTTCTGACCGTGCGTGCACACCTTCTTAACACGCGCGCGCGCGCGCGTCTCTTCTCTCTGTGTGTGTGTGTGTGTGTGTGTGAGAGAGAGAGAGAGAGAGAGAGAGAGAGAGAGAGAGAGAGAGAGAGAGAGAGAGAGAGAGAGAGAGAGAGAGAGAGGTCCGTTGTGGATGGGACGTGGGGTTGCGATGGGGCCCCGTATTGCCGCGTCGAAATCAATCGGACTCTTCTTCGTTCCCCTGCTGCTGATTGCTCTTTTGCCGGAGTGCTTAATTTTTAAATTTTTCTCCCTTTCCTGAAAATTAGTTTTTTGCTTTTTTCCCCCCTGATTACCCTGACGAGCGTTTTGTTCGCCTTATTACATTTTTAAGAGGTAAGAAAGAATGCCAGTCAAGAGGCATGGGAAGCCGGAGGGTGCTCGTGCTTACGACGAGACGAGCTTGTCACCAACCACGCTCGTCTTACTTGAAAAACGCATGGGCCACGTTTCGCTTGGTGCCAAGCTTGTCGCGATGATCGAAAGACAGTTGCGAACAAGGTGGGGGAGATGTCTCAAGTACGCCCGCAACTGTCTCCTGATCGCGACCTCCGTCTGCGCGGGCGGTCTTCTCTCCTTGGCCGTTTTTTTGGTGCTTGCTTGAGTCTGTAATGTATCATTTATATAGATATAAGTCTTTTCCGCGCGAGCTCGCGGGAAAACGGGGCGGGTGGTGGGCGGGGTGCAGAGCGATCTCGACCTGTGCAGCAAGGAGAAGCGCTGGGCAGATCAAGCTACGGTAACTAACATATCGAAATATGTGGGGATGGAGATCTATAAATGTAGGTCGCGGACATCTCTGTGTGTGTGTGTGTGTGTGTGTGTGTGTGTGTGTGTGTGTGTGTTGACTTGGTGATTGAGGGGAGAGAGTTGGGCAAGACAAGCAGACTGTCGTGAGATACGTGCATTCCAGTAATGGAGTCATGGATTTATTATTCTATATACATAGCAGCCGCCACTCAACGATATCCACCTGGGCGGCCTTGTACGCAAGAGGTTCTGAACAGGGGGAGGTGTAAATAAGAAGATAAAGAATGAATTGATATCTCTTTTGTTTCCTTTTGTTTTATTTTCGCTTTTGCGCTCTGATAACTTTGTGACAATATATGTTTGTAATACGTATATATATCGTCAAACAGAGCTGCCTGGTATATCGTCAAACAGAACTTCTCGGTAGACCTCAGGCAGAGAGGGAGAAGAGAACAAACGAGGGGCTGTGCCAGACTGTTTCGTCGGAGTTTCACTGACTCATTAGGAAGTATATACAGTATATTGTTGTCCTCTTCTCTCTCTCTGCCTACGGTTTACCGGGTAGTTCTGTTTTTATATATGGAGATTGTCGAAGGCTCAGTCGATGAGGGTGGACGAAGCAGTCTGTTGCGCGCTCCTTTGTCTTGTCGTTTTCGTCTTTCCCTCCAACTGCTCAGCGGGCAGTTCTCTGAAACAGTGTATATTGCCAAGACATGAATTTCTGTTGCTAGCATGTACATATATCCACGTGGCCGGCCTTGTACGTAAGAGGTGATGAACAGGCGGAGCTTTCCTTCCTTCCTTCTTTCCTTTTTTGTTTTGTCCTTTTTAGCCTTTGCGCTCCGATACACGGTGTGACGATATATATAGATGTATTTATATATGTATGTTTGTGTGGAAGCGAAAGGAAGAGAAGAAAAAAAGGTAAATGAAAAAGAGGGTACGATCGTTATGTAGTATCCTCTCGCCTCCTTTCTTTTTGTCTGTCTAGCTGTCTGTTCTCCCTCCCCCCACCCCCCCTCCCCCTCCCTGTTATATTAACAAAACGCGCTCTTGCCTGACGGAGCTATATGAAGTCGGCTGTTTTGCCTAACGGAAGATAAGATGTCGTGTGCCAATGTAAGCAAATGAAGTTCGAAATACTAGAACAGTTGTTAATCCCCCCCCTCCCTCTC